AGGTCGCCACTTCCCTTCTGTGCTAGGAATAGTTGCAGTCATAATCACTCATGGCACCCAAATGGCTCCAGCTACCAAACACTAAATGACTACTCAGGGCTCCTTAGGCCAATGAACCACTGCACACAACAACAATAATCAACTGTTATATTTGCCCCACTTTGAGTTTTGGAAATCTGCAAACCATACTGTTGGATGATAGATAGAATAAGAGTAATTTCTATTTACATCATTCTTTTTCATCTATGAAGCCCTTCTATTTAATTGTGGAGCTTTAATCTGATCATATTCAAACAACTGCCACTGCCATGCACATAACCGTTTTGATTTAAGATTACATTCAAGAGCTCTATCATATCAAATAATGAAATACAAATCAAAATTACACTAGCGCAGTTTATTACAAAACTGGAATCATTTAAGAGAATGTACCACAAAATTTTTCTACGTATAAGACAGCTACAAGTAAAATTACAACAGATGAAGTACCAAATTGTGCCATCACACAGAGAAGTCAAAAGCAACAAAACATCAGAACAACATACTAAACAACAGCAGATACAGTGCCAGTTGGTATCATCATAAAGAATTCCAAACAATGAGAGCTGAATGACTTGCTAAATATTCTTATAAAGTGTAATAACTAGAGCCATCACAAAGAAATCTAAAGCAATGAAATAGTTGAATAACTAGGTCTAAATCACAATGGGTTCAATAGCTACCAATTGGTACCCTAATATAAAGGATTGAAACACAATTTTTTTTTAAAATCTGTAAACGTATGCTTACTATATCAAATTAAAAAAATGAAATAAATTTTGAAGGATCCAAAGGCAATGAAAATACTGAATACTAAACAAAATTGCAAATGTTACAGAAGCAAGTGGCTCCATAAGACAATTAAGTTAAAAGCTATCAAACCGCTGAAAGGGAAGACAATATCACAACAGATATTGAATCAACTGGCACTATCATACACAAAGCTGATGTTATAAGTGAAGGAACTAAAAAAAAATAAAAAGACCTATATATCACAGACAACTAATTCAATCTAAACAGGTAAAAGTCTGCATACAACACCTCAAAAGAACTGTGAAAACAGTTCATAAGACACACACCTTGAAGTACTTTTGATACACATACCTACAGTACATGGCAAAAATATATTTTTTTTTTAATAACAACTCTTTTATAAACTAAGAACAACACTCCCTGTGGCTAAAATTTGATTGCCCCCAATATAGTGTTCATTGGGAAAAATATAGAAAAAGACATGAATGAGAATGAGTATCTTCAAGGCGCAAGAGATGTATAGGAGCAATTTCAACAATGTCTTCATGAGTAATACATGATATAATCCATACCAATCAAATTTCTTGTACTGTGGAGATACTAATTTTCTTTCAACAATTTTCTACATGAATCCACATATTAAAAAGTTTTAACAAATACACTAAGCTAGTGATATGTGACACAATTAAAATAATAATACAAAAGCATCCCTTATATGGTTACATACATGATATCTAAAATGCCTTATTCAATTTTGAAATCTTTAAGACATAAACATCTGTAAAGAGAAGAATTGTAATATCATACCTATTTCATCCTCCTAGGTTTCAAGTCTATTTTCAAATCTATAATTATTAATGAATTCCACATTGTAGAATTCAGCCTTGAACATAATGCCTTTTATAAGTGAATAAATAAGATAGCACTATGTAGGCCTACATACATTTGCACCTAAAATCTATGACCATATAAAAAGTATACCATCTAAAGCATCAGTCAATCAGTGTAAATTTGAATCCACTGAGAATGTTTAAAAAACAGAAATATAAAATCTAAAACCTATATCATGAAACTAAATCCACATCCATAGCCAGACAAATTCCAAATATGAACGCTCTAATTGTGTCATTTCTATCAATATACATGATATATAAACCTGTGCTTCTACCTATTTGTCACTTCTGATCTTGGGTTGGGATTCACTAACATACATAACACATTTACCAGCGGTCATTTAAGATTGCATTTGCCATAGATGGTGAAGTGGGATTCACGAACAAATGGTAACTATCATCAACAGAGTTTCAACCGTAAATCGACTCACTCTAATGGAAGCCAACAGAGGGCTCTAGTAGAGCAATATCACCAATCGGAAAGTGCCATACATAATCTTTGATTCCTTCGGCCAATCACATGATGTAAACAGAACTAGCGAGATTCTGAAAATCATTGTCACAGCTAAAATACCATTTAAGGATATGTAGAGCGGAATATATTTTTTTTTATCATATCCATTATGTGGGATATTAATAGACTTCCCTGGTTATGTATCATATAAATAGGAACCAATACAAACACTGTTATATCAATAAATTGTTAAGCCCAAGTGACCAAAGGATAGCACACTAGCCTCAGCAGCTGTTAAAGGTCCAACTGTGCACGTGGAGGCAAGGACTCCTACTCCTTGTCTACGGTACTGTCAGGTTGAAACAAACAGTGGTCACTTCACCAAGGGGTTTATCAATCCACAGGAAATAAGGCACTTCCAACACGGGGCGAAAATCACAATCTCGGGTGGGGAAACAAGAGGAGGGATGGCAAGCACGTCTTCCTCATGCGAGTGTCCCGGGTGATCTCACTCTGCTGGACGAGACGTCCCCCTCCACACCAAAACACCCACGAAATACAAAAATATTAATAGAGGGTGGTGTAACAATATCATTGTTTACCACAAACCAAAAAAACAGGCCAAACAGTTTTTTTAATTTACATATTTACTTCTCATTATTTTTAAACGAAGACCTGGTCCAAACAAATATTATTCATCGCCATCTATTATCAGCAAGGTTTATCTTTTTCTATAGAATTTGTGATAATTATGTCAGGGCAGAATAATTCTTCAAGAGTTCACTTATGTACCCATTCCATGCACTTGACAGTCTAATATAGGCCCATGTCTACCTATAATTTTACAAGAATTTGTGTAGATCTTATTGTCGATATTTCATGTGAAATTTTGATTTCTTCACCATGTCAAGACTGTGATATGTGTTTGCCATCATACAAATTATATTAGGTATAAAATCAAACCAAAACCTTTGCTTACATATAAATTTTTGGAGGAGATAACACTTGATGACATCATCATCCCAGAAGTTACCAGCAGATTTAACTGTGTTCCAACCACAGGTAAAATTTACCATGGTAACTCTGATGGTAAGGGTTTAGTGAATACCACTGCTTTTTGTTTACCCAGTAACTCTATTTACCAATTTTAACATCGTAAGTGCAATAGTGAATCAGGCCCCTGGATAACAGTAACAAAGCTTCATCATATATTATAAATTAAGACTTTATAGTCCTCTTTGATGATTTCTTGTTAAATAAGAAATTAATCAAAGCTCTCTCTTAACACGGACGTGGTGGTATTTTTCTGGCCTTTGCTTGGGCACACGCATTGGCAACTGACTGATACTATCAAATTGGGCTTCAGATTGTAGGTTTCCTATCACAGCAAATTTCAAGTGGCTTTAAATAGCACACAGACGCCGTAACTACAAGAAAGGTACAACGATTTAATCCGAAAGGTTAACCAGTTTTCTTTGCAAAAATTAAATGAATGTATGTAATCAGTATAAATGAAAACAAACCATAGAGAAACATGAGAGTTGAGTTAGGCAAAAAAAGAAAAAAAGAAAAGAAAATAGAAAGGCACAGGCCATAATAAGCACGGGTTAAAAAAGAAAAGAAAAAAAAAATCCCAGATAAACATAATACCCCAAAATGACTTATCAAAGTCTCTTAATCTATGCCTGCCTGGCTGAGTATGATAGTGCAAAAAAAAAAACAAAGCTACACCATTTACATAATAGTATTTTCCTGTCAAATAACAAACCAGTCTAAGCACTATTTCACAAAATCAGGAAAGATTTTTACCGATTTTTTTTAGCTTTATAGGTCAAGGCATCACTTTATGTAGACTTATTCTGGGTTATTACCACAAGGAGTGCATGGCAATGCCTCAATTTTGTCAATTAAAAAATGTAAATAATCTCAGACACTTGTCACTCTTAACACGCACGATATATATCCGTATACGTAAATGACAAGACAAACAACATGAATTATTTTCTTATTCTTCACACAGTCCTAAAAATGAACAAGGAAACAAGAAAATGCCATTATAATCAAAGCGAATTTTTTTTACTAACCACCGATAATTTCTCCTCCTACAGGATCCAAAAAAAACTCCTAAACTCTAATGAAAAGTTTGAAGTACTAAACCAATGACACTACCTAGTTTACATATGACACGCAATATGACATAGATGCAATAATAATGTTGCAATGATACAGTGAATCTATAATGACATAATGAATAATTAGAATTAACGTAATATTTTTTTAGTACTCACCTTTCACCTCGTTGCCCGTATTACATTCTCCTCATAATAAGCTTCTTGTAATTGAATATCCAACAGACGTCACAGATAGCAAAGGATGAATTTAGGGGTTGAGGGAGTGGATAATAATGAGTAAATATGAGTAAAAATGAGTAAAATAGAGCCCCGCCTCCGAGCCGCTAGTGCCGAGAGCCGCGCCACTCCCACGATCGATTCCTCGGCGTTTTGATGATCCTCCCTTTTGAAGGTCGCCGATTCCTGCCCCTCCTGTGTCCTTTTGGGACGTTTAGAGGTCGATATCCCCGAGATATGGTGGAAAATTCGGCTGCCGTAAGGGATATTTGGGATATCTCGCTCTTAAGAAGGAAATAAGAGTAAATAAGACCTGACTATAAACGCCAGACCCATCTACAAGAGGAGCGGGAGAAAGAGGGTTTATAGAGGGCGCTTGGATCAAGTAACAGTTGACTACGGAGAGAAGTT